AATAAACCACACACCTCCCCCCCCCCTACCTGAATAGGATTTGTGTGGTGATTTAGAGAATAGTGAACCAGTGCGCAATCAACAACACACTCTCCGGCCTCCACACAAACTACCTTAACCTGTGGTTACTTTGTGGTTGTTCAGGGGGTCAATGTCCCCGTGGCCCGCTCTGACCAGGCCTAGACATAGACATACAATGTAGACATACAGTATAGACGGAGAGGCATCGACGATATTGATGGAGGATGCCGTGGTAGTGTCTAAGTTCAACTTCTTGCTATTTTCGCTCTTCTTTCGCTTTTCTTTCTTATTCTTGCTTATTTCTTGCTTCTGGTTGTTGGTCTGGTTATCCATGCTGTTGGACGCACATATGAATCACAGCCTGGTTGATCAGATAACCTTTGGATGAGTTTATCAAGTTCTCTTTTGAACACTGAGTGGTCGGTCGGTTATGACCCGTATGTGTAGAGGGAGTGTTGAGCAGTCTTGGGGCCCTTGATGTTGATAGCGTTCACTCTCTCAGCATGCCTAATGAACCTCTGCTTTTCAATGGGGGTTATTCTGCACATCCTGCCATGGCTTTTGGTCTCGTGGGGTGTGGCTTCCGTGTGTAAATTTGGAACCAGCCTCTCTAATATTTTCCAGGTGTAAATTATTATACTTCTCTCCCGCCAGCACTACAAGAAACACAGTTTTTAACATTTTAATCGGTCCCAATAATTTACGAGTTTTACGGAGTGGATTCTAGCAGTAAAGGGTCCTTGCACTCTCTCCAGCTTTGAATAGAGCTGTTATTATGCAATAAAAATTCCAGTAGAGAGCATTAGTGTCTTGAAAAGACACTAGCATTGGTGTGAGATCATTGAGATTAGTGAGATCAAGATCATTGGTGCGAGGCAGCAGTCTCTTAGGATCCTAACGCTGGCTCATGCTCCGTTAGTGTAGGGCTACCTTGTGTAGCTTCCGCGGATCAACAGACCCGCGGCCCGGTCTCCGACCAGGTTGGTCGTCTGGTCAACCAGGCTGTTGGACGCGGCTGCTCGCAGTCAGACCTATGAATCACAGTCTAGTTGATCAGGTATTCTTTTGAGATGATTGTAGAGTTCTCTCTTGAACACTGAGAAGCCGGCCATGCCGTTGCATGTGCAACAGGAGTGGTGTAATCTAACCGTTATGCTCAGTGCACGGGTCGTGTGCATTTTCGCTCTGTTAATGCTACAGATAGATCTAGCTTGTCTGGTATTTAATGAGAGCCCTTGACTCGAGCAGTATGGTGATATTGCAATGTACAATATAGGTTATACCAGAGAGAGCGATGTTCCATTAGCATGCACTAGTATAGAGCAAGCTTCGCCCGCCATCGCAAGCTAAGCTTCAAGGAGTGCGAATTACCCTAAAACAGGGTCTAACGTCACACGTTGGGAACATACCCACGTTGTTGAAACCAAGATTTCCCCGATTGGTGTTAATCAGAAAAAAATGCCCCGATAGCTGAAACACCTTAAGCCGCCGCCCAATCTTATTCCCGTCAGGCCTATTGCCATATAGCTAGACCATATTGCCATATAGCTAGACCATATTGCCATATAGCTAGACCATATTGCCATATAGCTAGACCATATTGCCATATAGCTAGACCATATTGCCATATAGCTAGACCATATTGCCATATAGCTAGACCATATTGCCATATAGCTAGACCATATTGCCATATAGCTAGACCATATTGCCATATAGCTAGACCATATTGCCATATAGCTAGACCATATTGCCATATAGCTAGACCATATTGCCATATAGCTAGACCATATTGCCATATAGCTAGACCATATTGCCATATAGCTAGACCATATTGCCAAAGTCCAAAGGCAGTGTCAAGTTAATTCAAAGCATTGTAGCATACCCTGCAAGTGAAAGGGAATCTAACAGTGTGATATTTTTCTGCCTTTAAGTGTGACTGACGTTAAGCAAAAATCACAACTGGTTCAGATGCAACAGACTGGGAAGGTGGCCAAGTTCATATCGTGATTAATCTGTGTAATCATATCATTAACTGTCTTATTAAAGTAACAAGGTTGCAGTAGTTTATGAAAAGGTGCAAGTAGTGTAGACTGAAGGATGTTAAGCTTAAATTCATCTGCAAAAGCTTGATGAATTCTAACCATGACTGTGTGCCTCTTGGCACTGTTGCGAGCCGCGCGTGTGCGTGTGCGTGTGCGTGTGCATGTGCGTGTGTGTGTGCGTGTGCGTGTGCGTGTGTGTGTGTGTGTGTGTGTGTGTGTGTGTGTGTGTGTGTGTGTGTGTGTGTGAACCCCGTCCATGTCAGGTAATAGAGCCCGAGTCGCGAGTCTGGCCCTACTCAATACCTGTCACCCGGCTCGTCCTCTAAACAGACTCAAAGTCCATTCCATGCACCCGCCAAACCCCCTGTTTATGAATTAAAAACGGTTTACACACAACTCTCAATTGATGACAACCGAACACCTCCGGATGAAGTGCTTCACTGACACCTTTTGTTCGAACCACAACGATGTAAATGCTTCACCCACGTACTACAAACACAAATAATCGCCAACAGAACCTAAACACCTAACTTATCCAGTACCTAAATATGCACAATATGCTAAAATATAATATTAATAATTTATATTTAAGAAAAGGTATCTAATGAATGAACAGAATGTTAAAATTGATGAATGCGTCTTTGGGGTCGACAGCTGGATAGAATGGACTTGGTCTGAGGACGGGTTGCGTCACCGCACTAATGCAAGCGCCATCTTCTCGCGCCATCCCTGCACCAGCCAGCCGCGTGTGATATCTTTGCATGACACCACACAAGGAGCCGCCGCCTCAAGGCGCCAACCATTAACGCTAGCTAAGCGTGTATAAGGTGACCACGTGATTGATTGATGAAGATTAAGCCCCCCAAGAGGTGGCACGGTCATGAATATCCCGTGTGTGACCATGTGAAGGCACACAGCTTTATGTATGTACTCTATTTTGACTTACCATTCCTGCTCACCTGACTGAACAGATGGAGGTCGAGTGCTAAGTGACGATGGTGGTGGTCGAGCGGTCCTCTCGAGTGATACCACCTCGCTCAGCTACATGAAATTTGGGGTTCAGTCCCTGAGCCCATGATGTGCCTCTCTAACCCTTTCCACTACCGCCCACAGAATGGGTATGGGGTGCATAATAAATTAAGAAAACGTCGACCAGCCGAGAAGGGCGCTTGTGTATGTTGACACACACACCACTCATGTCATGTATACATGTCAATATTGTGAAGTTCTATGTCTGTCATTGAATGTGCCAGAGGATCCTGGAAGTTTTAGCCACGCTACACTACCTGAATTACTCACACACAATAGTAGCGCCAAACTTCAATGCTATTACGACACTGCGCAAATCAATTTGATGCAAAGAATCCTGGAAGGAACCCCTATATTGCCTTCCTGAGCGGTGGGGGACTTTCACCACTACCACCATGATACCAGACCAAGTCAGTAGCTGGCCAAAAAGGCTTTCCCGCACCCACACACATTTGTACCATTATTGGGTAAAGGGCAGCCCGGGTCTTGGTCACTTCTTCTTGCCCAGTTCGCGGGTGTGTTGCTGCTGCTATCTCCGCTGTTTGATGTCAACGGATAACAACAGTTTCTAAAATCCGTCACCAAATCATGTTTTAAGGACCTGTGATAATGTTCTTGTTTTTTCCTGTACAATTCTTGATGAACATGGAATACCAGGACTCGAGCCTGCTGCACATTGCATAGGCAATCTGAAGCAGACCCGATTCCGATTCCCGATAGTACACAAGGAATAAATTAGTTAGTTGTTAAGTTAAGGGAGTTAAACAGCTGCTACGGGCTGCTTCCTAGGGGTGTGTAACAAAAAGGAGGGCCTGGTCGAGGACCGGGCCGCGGGGACGCTAAGCCCTGAAATCATCTCAAGATAATCTCAAGACAGTAGTAATCTGAAGTAGCCATAACCGTCGATGGCTACTTCAAAATCCAGTAGGGTTAGGGTGACATCTATCTAATACATGATTTGATGCTGGGATCATATTCATTAAGAATGTTTTTTTTTTTAGGTTATTGATCTTGAGTGTGTTTGGGGCTCATCACAAACATTCGTGCTGTACCATCGGTATTTCACTCATTTCTTTGTTATCACCTGCGACTGTTTCGTCTCCTTTGCAGTCCCAAGTTTAGTGTAATTTGTTGAAGATTTTGCGCAGGAGAAAAAGTATTTCGGATTTCTCTATTTCACTGATGGCATTTTGATCTCTCTGCCTGTCCTGGAGTGTATACGATTAGTGTAGTTTTAGTTCAATCCTTTATTTTTCTACATAGTCTACACAAGTACACACATTTCGCACCCCCCCCCCCTTCCCCCCCGGCCCCACACACATCTCGCCCCCCCCCTCCCGCCACACACCCATCTCCCCCCCCCCCCTCCCCGCCACACACACATCTCGGCCCCCCTCCCCCAACAACCACACAAACTATTCACTACATAAACACACACACACACACGACACAATCCAGGTGCATATCTCGCAAACTACGCAGGCCTCGCCCCCACCAACAGCAATCACCACCAACCCTGACCCGCACACACAACACATTAGAGGTCAAGACTTGCCAATCTTGAGCCCAAATCACACACATTACTTCACCAAAATTGACTTCAAATGCAGAGAAATGTACCTCAATGTTGTGTAACACTTCCCTCGTTTTGTCATTGTTATTCTTACGTTCTTGGGTCGATGAACTCTAATTGGGTTATTTACAACGTATTGGACAGGGTCAACCCGTCCTCTCTCAACGTTATGGTAACCAACGATGTAAATGCATCCTACTATGAAAAGTAACGACACAAACAGCTACGTTTTATATGCAATGGATTTAGGTGGGTGGGTTGGTTGGGTTCGTATGTTTCTCTCTAAGATTAGGAGGCTGGAGTCTTAACAGTGACAAGTTAAGGTATCGGGCTGATCACAGGAGCCATGGTGGGGCTGCCACACTACTGCTGCCGTCACTATACTGAGCCACACTACTGCTGCCGTCACTATACTGAGCCACACTACTGCTGCCGTCACTATACTGAGCCACACTACCGCTGCCGTCACTATACTGAGCCACACTACCGCTGCCGTCACTATACTGAGCCACACTACCGCTGCCGTCACTATACTGAGCCACACTACCGCTGCCGTCACTATACTGAGCCACACTACCGCTGCCGTCACTATACTGAGCCACACTACCGCTGCCGTCACTATACTGAGCCACACTACCGCTGCCGTCACTATACTGAGCCACACGACTGCTGCCGTCACTATACTGAGCCACACGACTGCTGCCGTCACTATACTGAGCCACACTATTCATCAGACCTCCGTTGAGGTCTGATGAACACCTTTTGTGCCCTCTGTAATCCTTTTTGCGCTACCGCTCACAGGATGAGTATGGGGTGCACAATAAACTAGCCGTCTCCGGCGGCAACAATCAAAAACAAATACTTGTCACCTACTAACTAAAATTTTTAATAAAACAGTCAAGACAGAGAATCTCCCAAGAATTCTAGAAAATGTAAGTGTAGTCCCATAATTAAGAGAGGGCAGACAGAAAGAACTAAATACAGAGTAATGCTGGTGGTAAGTATTTCGTTTAAAGTGTTAGCAGAGGTTTTCAGCCAGGGGTACGTGTACCCCCGGAGGTACGCCGCGCGTACCCCCGGAGGTACGCCGCGCGTACCCCCGGAGGTACGCCGCGCGTACCCCCGGAGGTACGCCGCGCGTACCCCCGGAGGTACGCCGCGCGTACCCCCGGAGGTACGCCGCACGTACCCCCGGAGGTACGCCGCGCGTACCCCCGGAGGTACGCCGCGCGTACCCCTGGAGGTACGCCGCACGTACCCCCGGAGGTACGTTGCACGTACCCCCTGGAGGTACGCCGCACGTACCCCCTGGAGGTACGCCGCACGTACCCCCGGAGGTACGCCGCACGTACCCCTGGAGGTACGCCGCAGGTACCCCTGAAGGTACGCCGGAGGTTTAAATAGGTGGTACACCTTGACCTAGTCACTAAGGCAGCCAAATAGGTAGGTAGGTAGGTAGTCTCATGTTTGTTCACGGTTGTGTCCGGCAAGTCTCGCTTCATGCAGGTCGGCGTTCAATCCCTGACTGTCCTAGTGGTAGGGCACCATTCTTTTCCCCCCGTTCCATCCCATATTCTTATCCTGACCCCTTCTCAGTACTATATAGTCGTAATGGATTGGCGCTTTCCCCTGAAAATTCCCATTCTCAATTCCCTAAGCATTACCTCCCGTCATGGTGGCGTCCCCACCACACAACGTTACCTTGAGGTGCTTCCGGGGCTTAGCGTCCCCGCGGCCCGGTCGTCGACCAGGCCTCCTGGTTGCCGGACTGATCAACCAGGCTGTTGGACGCGGCTGCTCGCAGGCTTTTATAGCCGACATCGCCGCCGTGTTTCATGTATTGTTAAGCTACTTGCAATTGTACATAATGGCACTGGTCGTAAACTATACATAAGTGGGAAATTATGCATTGTATACCTGCCAATTTTGTCATAAATTAGGATAAATTAGCATATTATGGAGAGTGTAATCCGGTCCAGCCTCGACTATGCTGCCTTTGCATCAATCACTTACTAAGGCACCCAAATTGGACGAGAATCTTAACCACTTTACACTAAAATTAACATCATTCTTAGCAATAAACACAATCGACTTGAGAATGGTCCAGGACGGACCGAAACGTCTTCGTCCTTTCATTTTCTAGTGTGTGGATTGGTCAACATACTTCAGCCACGTTATTGTGACTCGTCGCCTGCATCATTCTTAGCGGTAAAGATCTTCAAACTGGAAAGCTGAAACAGTTTCCAGACTCACAGGGGTCGACAAAGACCCAAACATACTTAAAGAACAACTAAACAAGAAATAATAGCCTAAATATAACCAGATTCATCTGAGCTCAGGCGAGATTGAGCCTACCTGGAGAGTTGTTACAGATTTAGCTATTCAGAACGAAGTGTCCATGTAGCACGGGCTATGGTGAGCCCGTAAACCTGGAGGGGGTTTCAGGAGTTTTTCTACTCCCCGAGTCCGGCCTGGGGCCAGTCTCGAGGAAGGAAATGTACTACTCGCTATACCCCTCGAAGCTGAAGCCCGAGTCTCAGTGACCCACAAGACACTGATGGCTCCAAGTCAGCGTCATCCTTGAAAAAAGCAACAGCGTTCTACTCTACTTCACGTCCACACGACAAGAGTGAATAAGATTTAACTGAAAACCTCGACACCCCGCCTGCTGCTGCTGCTGTTGTTGTTATAGATTCAGCTACTTGGAACAAGTTCCAAGTAGCACGGGCTATCGTGAGCCCGTAACTTACCTGGCACAGGAGCGGGGCAAATAGCACGGGCTATGGTGAGCCCGTAGAGGACTCACCTGGCAGAGGAGCATTGCTGTGTGTACTCGATTGATTGATGATTGATGAAGATTAAGCCACCCAAGAGGTGGCACGGGCATGAATAGCCCGTAAGTGGTGGCCCTTTCGAGCCATTACCAGTAACAAAAGATGATACTGGAGATCTGTGGAGGCGCAACAGCACCCTGCGTGACGGGAGATGTCTCCCGGACCAAGTGGTGACCAAATGGTGTGTGTGTACTCCCCGCCTGCTATCATATATATACCTTTTCTTTGTCTGCACCTCTCCATGTTTATTTTCTCTTCAACAATAACTTACAATGCCTCAACACTTCGGAGTATATAACAAGTATTAAACAACAAACCATGACGACGAAGGAGTTGATGAGACGGGTTGAGTTAGTACAGTCTCACACTACTATGACCAGCACTACAGCTACAATCGTTGCTGCTACTAAAAGTTTGGGGGGCGATGCAGTCCCTCACACAGCTCCTTGACACATCACTCAACACACTGCTGTGTCCCGAGCCGTAATACATCTGTTTAATTCAGAAATGTGAGGAAGGGAGGGGGAAGGGAGGGGGTAGAGAGGGGGAGGGAGGGAGGGGGAGGGAGGGGGATGGAGGGGGGGATGGAGGGGGGATGGAGGGGGATGGTGGGGGGAGGGAGGGGGGAGGGAGGGGGGAGGGAGGGGGGAGGGAGGGGGGGGGAGGGAGGGGGTAGGGAGGGGGTAGGGAGGGGGAGGGAGGGGATAGGGAGAGGGAGGGAAGAGGTAGGGAGAGGGGAGGGAGGGAAGAGGTAGGGAGAGGGGAGGGAGGAAAGAGCGGGGAAGGTGAGGATGAATAGAATAGACACACACGTACGTGCGTGCGTGTGCGTGTGAAAGTAAGGGAACGCGTTAATATTAATTAACCAACAAGGAAAGATAAGAGGGGGTGAAGGGAACACTGAGACAGGCTTCCTTAACAACGACTTGGTCAGCCGGGCTCCTCTTTACTGTCCAGGGAGGGGGGGGATCAGAATCCAAGTATAGATGGAGGAAGATGAGAGAATTGAGGAGGGGGGGGGGGGGGCTGTGCCCGGCCATCACTGCCAGGGCGACCTGCCTCCTGCCTCTTTCCTTCCTCTACCTCTGTGTCGTCCCCTCTTCAAGACCTCCCCTTTTCTGTAAGAGGTATTCTGGGAGGGTACTGGAGGGGGGAGACGTGAGCTATATTTACTTGTACCCGCTGGGACCCACTGTCATGAGTATATCCCCCTACCCTGGCCCTTCCACTGCCCATCACTACTTTTGTAAATGCGCCCAAGAAAGATAGTGTGCACACTACATTATTAAAACAGTTAACACTGAAAAGCATCACTGAAAGTACTCAGAGTATGGGTAACGATGTTTATCAGTGCTATACCGACGGCTCTGTAGAAGACGGTGGACGATGTACCGGATGTGCATGTAACATATTTGAATAATCTTCTCTCGTACATACAGCAATGAAGCGCGTCAATGACTGGGCAAGTACAACTCAAACCGAACTTACAGGCATATACCTTGCCACTGAATTTTTAAAAGACAAAGGCAGTGGACTTATATACTGTGACTCGCAGAGTGCACTCTTGGCATTGAACGCACATAGTAGTGACACCCAGAAAATAGTCAGTGATATTCGAATAAATGTTTTAGCTGCCAAAGAAAACAGATTTGAGATTAAATTCCTATGGATACCATCACATGTTGGCATCTCAAGGCATGACACTATTGATATGCTTGCAAAGACAGCCTGCAGAAAACCAGTGGTAGAAATTGATATGGGTGTTTCATTAGCAGTGACAAAGAGAATACTTAACAAATATCTAATGAAAATCTCACCGACCTAACAAATTCTCAAAGACCTGAAAGTTGTAGCATTAAATATTATGATAGATATCGTGAGGAGACATTCACATATGGGACTAATAGAACAAGAACCCGGCAATGTGATGTTATAGTGGCCAGAATACGCCTGGGATATAGACGTATCTGGCAGCTTTCTCATAACCCAATTGTCGAGTACACAATGTGTCAACTTTGTGAAAGAGAAAACATGCACTCTCTTGAACATTATATTGTAGAATGTCCCATACTGACTGACTTTCGCCCTCCTGGGCTAAGGTATGCTGAACTCTGTAGTTACTATATGAGTACTGGAACACTTGATGATATATTGGACTTGTATCCAAGATTGACCATGTAATATATCAATCATACAATGTATATATATGATGTAACTATATAACCTGAGCTTGTAAAAGCACCTTCATCACCTTCAGTGATTAAGTGCTTAACTGCACACTAGTTTCTTTATCAACTACCTCACCCTGTCAGAGTAAATGAGACAAATGTATGTGAATGCATGTGTGTGTGTATATATGTATGTATATGTGTGTGTATGTATGTATATGTATGGGTATAAAGTATATATGGAAGCTGATCAGAATTACATTTCACCTTTGTGAATGTACATTAATGACACTATGTAAAAGACACATCTAACACTTTATGTAGGACATACGTAAATCTGTGTATCTATGTATTTACGTATGTAGGTTAGCTTAGCATTTTAAAAGCACCGAATCATCACCTGTGGTTGATTGTTCAATAAAACCCTTGAACTGTATGTTTAACACATCTCTAACCCTGTCCATGGAGGACAGAAGAAAATGGTTAGCATTGTAAATGTGTGGCCACGTCTGTGGTAGAAAAAAAAACTGCCCATCACTTCCCCTCTAACTACTACTCCTATTCTTATTTTTAATTCACCGTTTCCTATGTTCATCATTCCCTTCATCCCTCCCTTTTTCCCTTCACCTCTTTCGCTTTCCTCGCTCCTTCAGGCACGCATAGACGAGATAAAGCACCTAAATTATTGGGATCGTCTCAAAGCCCTCCAAATGTACTCTCTAGAAAGAA